TGCTTTGTTTATTCGAATACTTTTAAATCCAAAAGAGTTTTTCATGCAAGAAGTTTGAACCGAGCAGGCCTTGAACGAAATTTAGCAAAAATTGATTTAAAAACGAATTTTCAGCGAACCAAGGCTTGACGAAAAGACGATGGTTCAAACAGTGAACAGAACCAGCAAAAAAATCATTCGTTGGCTTAACAAGTACTTCATTTTCAAATTATTTGAGATATGTTGTTTGATGCGACTGTCTCCGAATTATGTGCCACCTGCAGAATATGTATGTATGTATAGCTATTCTAGAAAAGTGTCGACAGTTAAGATCTTAGGGTAAGTGCTCAGAAAGGCTAAAAAAATTCAGATATAATATTATATATAATAAGTGTTTAAAAGATCTTTTCTTCGATGCATTACATAATGGTCCGTAGAAAGGTTTAAGAACCGAGCCGATGATATGATATAAATAATATATAGAGCAAAACTATATAATAGAAGAATATGAAATATAATTTTTGTGACTAGATATAGCAGTGTGCTGGGCGAATGCTAAGTTGTGGAAAGACAAGGTCAGTAGGTAAGACTTAACATAATGGCATAACATAACATGGCATAACATAACATGGCATAACATTTCAGCTGTAATGTTAAGCGCAATTATGTACGATTTTCTTGGTAAAATTTTTGGAATATCTTCCGAATTCTATAGTTTAGTAGGCATTAAACGAAATTTTGTTGATGATAATTTCGAATTGTTCCATGTCGAACTAATTATTACTTTTGGTAAACGAATGTGAAACTTTCCTTTTAAAATTATCTGTTGGTAAAAAAAACAGGACAAAAATTACGGAAGTGCATTAGAACTATACGCAAAATTTTTGTAAATGTTAATTCCGGCCGCCTACAAATCGAATACCGAACCCACGTCCAGAGAAGTGTCCCCAGACGGCCAAGAGCGGGCCGCGTCAATGGGGAAGCAATCGGAGGGGGATAACGCGAGCGGAAACAGTGTCAAGACTTTGGCGCAGAACAGCTATATAAGCATTCACCAGCGGTCATCCTTGCCGCTGGCCGTTATCTCCAAAGGTCCACCTTCAAGCGACGCCAACAGCAACAGCATCAGCAACAACTGTACCGAAGAGGATGACGAGCTGACACTCAGCGATGGCGAACAGTTCGGCTCCGTTGACGACGAGGAGGAGGAGCAGCAGGCGTGTACGCCGAAAAGACGGATCACCTCGCAGGGCGATGAGATGGGTGCCAAGCTGAAGCATGAGCTCTCCAAGTACAAGCAGGAGCTCAAGGAGTACAACGAGACCACCAAGGATCTGGAGAAAAAGTACATGAAGATCAACTATGAGCTGAGCGAAATGCAACAGAAGCACGATCATTTTGTGGGCCGACGCAGCCAGAGTCCCGATTCGGAGCTGCCCAGCGAAGCGGATGCGGATGCCGATGGTAACGTACTCGATAGCTATTGCCCCTCGGACAGCAGCATCGGATCGGAGCTGACGGTCAAGCGAAAGAGCACCAAGGTATTTCGCAGCAATACGAGCTTCATGACGGTGCTGGCTGCACCAAGTTCCTGCGAGGAGCTGACGACGCGGCAGAAGCGCCAGGAGCTGAGGCAGCCCAAGATCAGGCATAATCTGACCGCCCAGGTGGAGGTTGGTGGATATGGCCAGCATATCGTGTCCAGTCGGCATGCGCGACGTGCTCTGCGGGCACCCTCCGACCATCTGGAGGAGCAGGAGAATGAGCCGAACTCGTTCAAGCAAATGTACCATGTGCTCAAGGATGTGATGAACACGCAACAGCAACAGCAGCAGCTGCAGCAGCTGCAGCAACAGGATCACAAGCCAAAGTACGGCTACGAGCGCGACAGCGGCGAGTTCAATCAGCTGTACACGACCATAAAGGATCTGAAGACCGAGCAGGTGCAGTTCCGTAACATCATACGCCATCAGCAGGATCGCATCACCGACTATCACACGCGCTGCGTAAAGGCGCAGGAGATCATGAAGACGCAAAAGCACGAGATCGATAAGCTGCAGGTGAACAACAAGCAGCTGGAGTCGAGCATCTATCACGACATCGATACTTTACGCTCCAAGATCGACAGCAAGCTGAAGAGCGTCGCCCAGCTGCCGCATCTGATGCGCGAGGAGCACACCAAATATGAGAAGGTGCTGCGCGAGAACTGTCTCATGGCCGAGAAGCTGCACGCCCTCCAGAAGGAGGCCGCCCAGCTGAAGTGCAAGATCGATGAGCTGGGCAAACGCAAACTGATCACGGTCAATCGCCTCAAGGCGGCGGAGCGGGATCTAAAGATATTTAAAAACTATAATGCGGCGCTTAAAACGGAAAAGCGCCGCCTTGCCGAGGAGTTGTCCACCTCGAAACTGCAGCTGGACTCGCTGCAGGCAGTCGGCAAGCGGCAGCTGTCGCGGCATCGCGAGCAAACGGAGAAACAGCGCCGGGAGCTGCAGAAGCGCATCTTTGATCTGGAGCTGAAGCTAAGCCGCAGCCAAAACTCCACATCGAGCCTCATCCAAGAGCGCGACAGCCTCATTGCCGAGCTGCAGACCCAGCTGCACACGCTGGTCCACAACTTCGAGGTCTCCCAGAAGCACATACGTGTGCTGCGCCGCCACATTTACACCATGACCTCGGGAAGCTCTGGCGGCACCGCACTCGGCTCTGGCTGTGCACCGGGCAGCAGCAGCTCTAGCCCTCAGCGCTCCTGTCCCAGCAGCGAACAGAACGTAATGCGGGCCAGCCAACAGAGCCAGCCGTCCAGCCCTTGCGTGACACGGCTGAGTACTCCACGCACGCTTAAGAGCAGAGCCTAAGAAGGATCAGTCACCGTCAGGCACCGTCTCTATTAAGCGGTTCAAGCAACTTGAGGATATGGCCAGGGTCAGCTAAACGTGATCTGTATAGTTCACTGATTTCTGGGCCATATCATCAAGTTGCTTGCACGCTACATTTGCAGACTGTCGCGGCATCTGTTTGTCCATCCCATTGATTTTCATCTGTGTTGTTTCTATTGATTTTAATCAAATTTTCGTTTATAAATTGTGTTGCAAATTAATCATGATTTTATTTTTACAAATCTAATATTTTTATTATTCACTTCAATTGTTAGCTAGTTGCAGCTCTTGTTAATTAATGTTGGCTATGTGGGAAAAGATTGGATTCTGTTCCAAATCTCAGCGTAGTTTCTAGCCAGAGTGATATATGGGGCTCATGGCAAACAGTGCGATTTAAATGGTTTTCAATAGTTTGCTACTTCAACTCATTTTACGACAAATGGAGGCACTTCCGAACTCAGTCTATATATATTTTTGATCGGTACGACGAGCTGAATCGACTTAGCCTGGTCCGTCTGTTTCTAAGTGTTGAAGAAACTTCAAATTTAAATTACATATTCTCCTATGGAAATCGAGTTTGTAATAGTTTTTGTCAATATCGCAACACATTAAAAAAATATCTATAACAATTTATTTTAAGACTAGTTATTTAATCATAACTTAAAAATATTAAGAACTAGACACACTCGATTTGGAAGGATAGAAAAGGTAGAGCCGTGCGACCTCGTATCCACGCATGAACTGCCATATTTATGTCCTTCAAATTTCACATAGATCGGACAAGAGGCGAAGATATTCAACATTAATGATTTGTAGAATTCAAATTTAAAGTCCATAAAAATTAAAAATCCATAGTATTGTATTCCACAGAGTGCAGAGTATCGGTAGAAATTATTTTCAATTCGAGCGCACTTTTATAATACAAATCTTGAAAAGTGAATGTAAAGCACAATTTTCCAGCCCAATATATCTGACATTATATACTCTGGAAAGCCATATCGGATAAGAAATCATTTTTTTTTTTTTGGTAAATTTCTACATTAGTTTCACTCGAGAGTCCTTTAATAAAAGAAGGTTAAGGTCGGGTCTAAACGAGTTTTCTTATTAGCAAATCGTATTTATATATATACATACGGCATAGTATACTATATCTTTAGGGTAATACGATTTCAGGGCTATTAAGTCTGGAAGCGTGCAAAACTAATGTTTTGACGTTTAGCTCATTATAAAAAAAAATTGATTAAGTCATGTCTATTTCAGTATTCGATACACACGATCAATTGCGAGATCTGGGCAGTTATTGAAGCAATATTATAAAGGAATAACATGAAATTCGCTGCATTTATTTTTCTAGCCTGCTGCAATATTTGCCTTGCCGAGATACTACATTTAGATGGTAAGTGATATTAGCTAGCTAATCAATTTCGTAACTTTCTCCCTTACTTCAAGAACGTTGTTATTTTCCGAATGCGGTGAAGGGCAAGTGCAACAAGTATCGCATTAAATACAGCTTCCATTCTAAATTAAATGCCTGCCATCCGTTTGTTTGGGGCGGTTGTAGGTCAGCTAAGATCGAAAATCGCTTCGATTCGCCGGAAGAGTGTAGTTTGTGCCGTACGTGGATTAAAAATACAAAATGGAAGAGTTGAGTTTTTGATTTGAATGCGGTAAAAGATGTATAATAAAGTTCAAAAGTATATTGAATTCATAGAATAAAGAACAAAAAGTTTGAATCAATGTCTTTAGTTTTAGTTTAGTTTTTAGTTTTGTGCTGGACTTTGCGAAAAGCGTATCAAATAAATATACACAATGATGATATCCAAAAAATGTTCTAAGTTCTTCACAAAATTCTCAAATTAAGTATCACTGAGATATTTCGAAATGATTTTGGCTGAAATGATAAAGGCCGATTTCCGCGAATTTGTAAAAACACTTATTTATACATTTATATAAATCGGTTCATGAAAGGGAATAATAACAAATATTTATGTCTGAAAACTATTTAGCGCGGAGAACTGAAAGTATAACTATAAATATTAAATTATAACCAAGCGGAACTGTGAATTCGAATTGTCTCACAAATAAAGCGATTAAAATATATTTTCGTTTCATTTGTTATTTATATAAGAAAGGAACTAAACAGCTACGCCATACTAAACTGGAAAACTCTTGAATCAGTTTAAGAGTTTCAAGTAATAAAAAAATCCCTTCAAACGATTTGTGTAGAAATCCTTGTCCTTCTCACAACATTTTCAAGGGTTCCAACTCTGATCTCATGCCAGATGCCAAGTGCCCGACCGATGATTCGTAATCAAAATTAAATTTGTAAATATATAAACTCAAATGCTGTGTGTAAACAATTCACAGATTCTCAAAAACTCTCGCCACTCAGCTGATTGTTGCTGGACAGAAATCGCATACGATTCTTCAGATACACACGCTCCCACAGATCCGTATATATATAGAGAAGGTATATATATATGTATATATAAACAATTTCCACAGCCACTTTGGACGCATGATTCTGAGTGGGCTCTGTGCGAAAAGTGCGATGGGCTGTACGGTGGGAGAGTGGTTGGGGGGCGGGGCGAGGCACAATGTTGACAGCTGTGTAAGAAGTGCGCAGTGTGTGTGTGTGTGTGTGTGTGTGGAACTTATATAGGAAGCGCTGTCGGAGAGCGTCAACGGAATGGCTAAATATATACCCGAAACTGAACAACTGAGAAATCAGCATGTTTTCAATATTAACATGAGCACAGCCGGGGGCAACGGCGACGTCGCGGAGGGGGGGGGGGGGCATTGCCGCTGACCTGGCGCGCTCTTACTGAGCAGAGCCAAAGGTGCGACGCCGAAGCTTTTCCGCTTTTCCCGTTTTTACCAGCACAGTTGAGTTTTCGCACGCGTCGCGAGCGGCTGCCAAACAACAAAGATGCGCCACGCTTCACTGATCCGCTGGCATGCCACCAGCCCGATGACGCACTGCACCAGCAGCAACAGCTTTAGAGGCAGCTACGTGTTGCTGCTGCTGCTGCCGCTTCTGCTGCTGACGCACGTTCATCCAGCTGCCGTTGGCGATGCGGATGCCGACGGTCTGTGCCTGGTACGCGCCACACTCTATATCACAGCGCCGGAGCAGCGCAGCGAGCAGGACTTTGGTCTGCCGCTGGACATCGATTGCGCCGACAATGGCAGTAGCTCGACTGCAGCCTTCGACCTGCTCCCGCAGCGCGTGGCGGGCAAGTTGCACGTGCGGCTCAATGGCAGCCAAACGCCGCCGCTGGGCGTAGCCAGCTACGGTCTCGAGTATCTGGACAACTGTGCGCAGCTGCAGAGCATTCAGATCGAGCGTTTTGTTACCGACGCCAGCCTGGTTCTGTGCTGCCGCGCCGGCGTTCCGCTGAAGCATGTGCGTTCGGTTGCGCTGCGCCACAACGAGCTGGGCACGCTCAGTGGCCACAGTTTTGAGCTGGTGCCGCACCTGCAGCAGCTGTTGCTGGAGGACAATGCGCTGCGGCTGCTGGAAACGCTCCGGGGCTGCGGCGAGCTGCAGCAGTTGGTAATACGGCGGGAGCGGCAGCTGGCGCTGCGGCAGGCGCACGTTCTGGGCCAGCTGGGGCAGTTGCAGCGGCTGGAGCTGACACGGCTGAAGCTCGTCTCGGGCGCCTTCCTGGCGGCGCTGCCCGGGCTGCTCACCGAGCTGCTGGTGCAAGAAACGCCCATAGAGCCGCGCCAGCTGCGGCTGCTCAATGGCACCGATCAGCTGGTCAAACTCAGCCTGGTGCAGTGCGAGCTGAGTGGCTTTTCCCTGGAGTCGTCGATGGCGATCCGGCTGCTGCATCTCAATTTAAGCGGCAATGCCTTGCGGCAGTTGCAACTGTCGAACAGCTCGCTGGTCAGCTTGGATCTGAGCGGGAATCATTTGAGTAGCTTGAACAGCAGCTGGTTCGCCCAGCTAAGCCAGCTGCAAGCGCTGCATCTGCAGGCCAATCAATTGCACAGGGTCTCCTGGCAGCAGCTGCTGCAGCTGGCCACGCTCCAGGTGGTTCAGCTGGACTTGAGTTCCAATCAGCTGCTGCGCCTCGAGGACACGGAGCATGCTGCCTGGGACCAGGCGCAACAGCTGCGCATACAAATCGATGACAATCCCTGGAGCTGTCAGTGGCTGCTCAACTTTTCACATGCCCAGCCGCAGTTGTTTCGCCTGTTCCGCTACGCCAAATATATATCCCAGATAAATGTGAATGGCCTGAGCTGCAGGCCAAAGCAGGAGCATCCAGCGATGGAGCCACCAGTTACCACCAGCTCGCTTGACAGCAGTCCACAATTGGCCCAGAACAATTGGTCCACGCGTAATGCCTATCTGAATGTGTCCAGCCATACGGTGCTCTATGGCAATCCCATCCAGCAGTCGCGCAGTCAACGCGCGGAGGCGCTCATCATAGTCTTCATGCTGCCTCTGGGCATTGCGCTGCTCTTCCTGCTGCTGTACCTCTACCTGCACTGCGAGCGCCTGTTCCACTGGTCCTACTACGCAAGCGGACTGCCCTGCTTTGGTGGCAGCAAGTCTGCGCGCAGCCATCGCTTTGTGGATCACATAGACATAGTGCGCTATCCCATTGCCAATGGCAATAGCTCTGCCAGCATGGCTCTGGAGCTGGAACCGCAGGCCGATGGCTATGAGACGCCGCTAAGTGGCGCCGCCTCCATTTGCAACTGCGCCGGGCACAGGCAGTTCGCATGCTCCCGCACCCATCACGTCACCTATGAGGTAATGCCCACCGAGCTGCCCTACCAGCTGTACACAGAGATCAAGGAGCTGGCCGAAGGCGAAGAAATGGATAAAACGCTCGAAGAAATTCCCGCCGCCACGGCGCCCATCTATGAACCCTTGGACGAGAAGCCACTGGAGGTCTAGCAGTTGTCATCAGGTAAGCAAAAAATATAAATGAAGACTAGCAGATACCCTGTACCTAGCTCTAAGCTACCTTAACCTGTACATACTCTGCTACTTTTCTTAAAACCACACAGAGGAAATGCATTCTTAGATAACTACCAAAGTCCTTAAAGAATTACCTTATTTGGGTTTTTGATAGAAAGAGGGAAAGTGTTACCAAAAAGTGAAAGAAACTGAGTATGTATTAACAGTAGCAGCATCTGCATACCAAAAACTAGGTTGAATAAGTCCAAAGATATTTTAAAAATATAAACATGTTTACCTTATGGATGCCTTCTACTGCCTGTTACGCGCATTTGCACAAGACCATAATACCCATTTTTGAACAACTTCCAATGTACACAGGGTATGAAGAGATTTATACAAAGAACTTGTATGATTGCTATCAGTACAATATTGGCGTCTGTTCAAACAGCTAGATGATCTAATCGCATGTGATTCACATTTACAAAATTGCTGCTTTATATCTCTTGTGCGTTTTAATTGCCAAGGTTCAGTAACCTTCTATGAATATAGAAAATGTTAAAGGAGTTTCATGAGTTTGTCATAAATGTATGTAACAGATAGTGGAAGGCATCTTCTCTGTAAGGCATATAAACTCTTGACCAGGGCTTTAAACAGGTCAATCTCAGATACTATAAAAGCTATGATTTAAATATAATTAAAAGAATTTAGAATATGAAGGATGAGCCTTTTTTTGGTAACCTCTGTTAAGTATTGATTCTTGGTCTCAGCTATTGAAGCATATATTAAAATATATTTCTTATAGAACCAAGAATATCAAAAATATTTAATGTGCTAATACTGCTAGCATATGGGGAACATTTTATCAGTATGGTACTTCTCTTGGAAGAATGCGCTTCTTTGTTTTGTGAGATACATTTTTCAAACTGAACAATTAGCCTGTCTGCAAGACTGTTTTACAGTTGACTAATATCTATCTTCAGTATCAAAGATTGATCAGCAATAAACAAAATATATGAGCTGAAATCTTAAAGGCTATTTAATCTTCTTCGGACTTGTCTTTTATGTGAATTAAATTTGAGTTTAATATTATTTTCGCGGTCACTCAATTACTATATAAAAAATTATCGTTTCAGGTATACAAATTATCTATCGTGACAGCTGATGAAAAAAGTGTCCACATGAAAATCTCTTCGCTTGCTTGACACTGGCAAGAATTATTAAGTTTGTATGTCTCGTTGTTGTTTGGTGTGTAATTTATCGCAAAGTCTTAAATTTAATTAAAGTCTCTTTATCTATACATGCATCAGTTTTATACTTTAGGAGCTAGCTGGCTTTTTGGATGCAACAACAATACGGCGTATAATGTTTTGCGACTTTTTGGGTGGCTTTATGTCCTGGACAACAGGCTGTGCGTTCTCCTTGTTGCGCTGGGTCGGACTGTATTCGTCCTGGCTCAGGTTGTGTACGATGGGCTCGTTGCTGCTAAATTGCACATACTTGTGTGTTTCCTCGGCAAACAATTCACGTCTTTTAGTTAGTATGGAGCGGACAGGACAGAGGGCAGGTGCTTGCTGTTGGAGCACAACGTCCACTGCACTAGTCTTAACTCTAACTGGCGTGCCCTTGCGCAGAGGTTTGGCCTCACAAATTTCGTCCATTTCAGTGTGTTCTTCTTTGGGCTTTACTGGCGTGCCCTTGCGCTGTGGTTTGACAGGCGTGGGCACATCTTGCTGCTCGCGCTCGGCTTTAATTTGGCTTAATTTGACGGGAGTGCCCTTGCGCTGGGGCTTTGCAGGCACCAGTTGGTCAGCTGCTTGGTCTAGTTCCTCAGGCTCTACTTTAGGCGACATCAGCTGCTGTTCACTTTTAACTTTAATATGTCCAAAATGTGGCTTGACTGGCGTGCCCTTCCTAATGGGGTTGGCAGCAGCAATTAGCGGCTCGTTTATATCAGCCTCATCTGTTTCAGTTTTGACTAGCAACTGCTCATCCCACTGCTGTGCATCCGGGCTGTAAGCTGGTTGCTTCTCGGATTTCGGCTCAATTTTAACGACGGCCTGAGATTCCCCTTGCTGATCAATCTTAAGTGGAGTGTCCAAAACGATGACTTCAGTTTGCAGATTGGTGCACACCGCGGTCGGTTTTAGCGGCGTATCCAGGACTATGATTTCGGATTGAGTGGTCACATTAGCTGGACTGTCAACAGCTGTTGGTGCGGTGGTGACGCTGACAATGCGCGGCAAGGCTGCTTGTAGCTGGGCCTCCTTAATATCAAACTCCATGGCCTGCATGGGCTTGAAGGTAATCTTGTGCTCCGTCAGCAGGCTCTCGCGATCAATGAGCACGCAGCGCGACTTCAGGGACTCAAAGCGCCAGCTGTTAAACAAAATCAAATATAAAATCAGCTCGAAATTGAAACTGTTTGCACTTACCGTGCCATTTCCTGCTGCACATTGCGCATCTGCTCCTCAAGTGTGGCCTTTTGGATGTGCATGGTATGCAGTTGGGCCTTCAGCTCGTCCGTTTCGCGTCTAAATGGGATGGGAATGAAGTGAACTAAATCTAAACGCATCCTAACCTAAAGGGCAATCACAGCAAAAACAATCTGTAGCTTGTAAAGCTGAGCAATTGATTGCCAAGTTTTGCTACTACATGGCCCAAGCGTTCGGCTAACTCATACTTGCAAAAGTCCAATATGGAATCAAGCCAAGTGACCGACTTCTCGCTGGCCAACTCGCGCAGTCGCTCCTGCGATACATTTAGATTGCGCTCCAGTTTGGCGTTCTGCTGCATCAACTGTCGAATGCGTTCATTGAGTTTATCTGCAAAGCGAATCAAGCATAAGTTTGAGTTTAAAAGCGATCATGAAATGTTGCTCACTCTGATAAGTCTTGTCGGCGCTGCAGAAGATCGTGCTGCACGCTTGCAGCTCGGTGTGCATGGCAATGTTCTCCCGCTTGAGTCGGTGTATTTCATATTTGCTTTCATTGAATATCTTTTTCATGTCCAAGTAGCTCTTCTTTTGGCTAGCCAGCAATTGCTTCATGGCCTGCCGCTGATCGTCCACCTCGGCAAACAGAGAATTACCTTTGCGATCTGCAAGTGTCGATAAATTGATTGGGTCAAGGTTTAAAAATCAATGTGGAAGTTGTATATCAACCATTGTGTTCTGGTGCGCTCGTGAGCAGAGCGATTTTAGCATTGGCTTCCACCAGCTGCTCCTGTGCGCTCTCCAGCAGCTGGACCTTCTCCTCCAGCTCATCACGCTTGCCGCGCAGATTCTGCTCCAGGCAGTCAATTTTATCCTTGAATATCTCAATGGTTTTCTGTGTGTGGAATAAACTTATAGCAACAGCTTGATATAGTTTTCAGACATACCTCCTGCTCTGCTACGGCAAAGGTATTTTTCACTTTGGCATCGTCGTATTCGGCCAACTTTTGCATTAGCTCAGCATTTTCCAGCTCCAACGCATTTAAACGAGCGACAAATTCTTCGTCTGCGCTGTTGGCTTGCAGCAAGGCATTCGCTTCCAAGTCGCGTGCTGCACTCTCCAGCTTTGCCTGAAGGTTGCCAGTTTCCTCGACCTTGGCATCGTAATTCTGCTGCAAGGTTTCGTGCTCCAGTTGTAGATTCCTGTATTTCCGGCGCAGTTCCTCCAATTCCTGCTGTATGCGTGGCTCGTCGCTTGGGCAGGCAGCTTGCGCCTGTGCGCTGAGATGCTCCAGCTCCTGCGTTAGATAACGCTCAGCTGCCAAGGAGGTATCTAGGCTGCGCTTCAGCTCGTGTAGACGCTGGGCATCCTCCTCGCTGTGCTCCTTCAACTGTTGGTGGAGCTCCTTTAGCTGCTCATGGCGTCCATGCAGTATTTTGTACTCTTCGACAATGTCTTCGATGCTCAAAGCGCTTAAATCTAAGTTGTTGTACATTTTTGATGCAGTTCTCAAAGCGTTTTTTCTTTCATAGGGCGTCGAATTTTTGAATTAATTGTGCAAAAGTGACGCTTACGCACAGATGCAAGCCAATTTATATCGATAGTATTTGCTAGCATATCGATATCGATAGAGCTGCGTTTAGACTGTACAGATCTGAAATTAAATTATTTCATAATACTATTTTTTATTTTATTTATAATATGCCAAAAATTGCAGATATTTTTAACTGTGCAGACGCTAAGTACTGCAGCGTTATCGTAGATCTAACAAGTACTCAGCAGCCTTTCTGTGTCGTTCCGATACTTATCGATACTTGTAACATGTTATTTAATGCATGCGAACGGCAAGTTTGTATACCGCCATCTGTTGAGTAATTATTGCGCGCTAAATAGTTCATTATTTGAATGAAGTAAAAATGTAAATTGTAAATTCTTCAATATGCATAAATGAAAAAACAAAACAACTTATATAGTAAGTTTTACTTCTAAGTGAAACAATTAGTAAATGCATTTTAAGCGCACGCGTTGCATTGCGTTTGCCCTTTGCGGTTGTCATGGAGATAAAAAAAGTGAACTAACAAACATTTTTAATTTTTTCAGACATTTAACTCAGCGCCGACAAAATGCAGGAAGACGTTGAGGCCAAAACGCAACAATTGCAAAATTTTCAATCGGATGATTTGCTGGAAAAACTAAAATTGCTAAACTATGAAAAGCATCTGCTGAGGGAGTACAAATTAAAGCCCTTGTCGCGTTTCTATTTTGTCAAGGCCACAAATCCGGGCGAGCAGTTCTTCATGTTTACGCTGATTTGCTGGTGGCTGTGCAAGAAACTGGGCAAGGACATGGAACGGCCACAGGAGCACGATGATCCCAATACGGTTATAGCCAAGATCATACAAATACTAGAGGAAATTGTGAGTATGTGATTCTCTTCGGCGCACAGCCAGCTCATCCTCATCATGGCAGGACGTGCCCGTGGAATTTGCGCCCAACAAGCTCATACGTGGCGCCGGACCCATTTGCCTCATGGTGCTCGACGTTCTGGCCACCCAGGCCCTGAAGGTGACCAAGGTGAACTATCAGCGCCTGCACATTGTTCAGGAGGAGGAGTTCGTGGGCGACTATTTGGAAGACAATGCCGAAATCATACTGGAGAAGCTGGAGGATGAGCAAAACGCCGCCGCTCTCAGCGATGACAGCGATCTCGAGCTGGAGGCGCACAATTTCAAGCAGCTCAATTGGCTCAATCGCCAGAAGCGTGCCATGGGCGATATGCCAGCCAGCGGCACGGACGAGCAAAGCCGCGAGCTGAACGCCCGTCTCAGCGATCATCAGGAGTGGCGTCTGGAGCTGGAGCGCGTGCTGCCACAGCTCAAGGTGTTTGTCAAGGCGGATGCCCGCGACTGGCGCACACACATCACCCAAATGGAGACACTCAACACGGGCATCGCCAATGTGGCCGAGACCACGCAGACGCAGCTCAAGAAACTGCACAGCGAGTTCACCTTCAGCCTGGAGAAGATCGAGAGCCGTGAAAAACATTTGAACAACGAGCTCCAGCAGCTCATCCAGCAATACAAGGAGCTCTCCATTGAGCTATCCACCGTGCAGTACGCGCAGACGCAGCTCCAAACGGACTCCGAGCAGCAAATGGCCCAGCTCAGCGAGGTGATGGCCGAGCAGGAGCTCAAGAAACAGGAAATGGAGCGACGCGGTCAGGTTATGTCAGATGGAAGTAAGTATGCAATGCAATATAATTGTAATACATTTCTGATAATCAGCTATATAGAAGGATATGAATTCCTATGTAGAAAGGCAAGTTCATTCTACTTAAAATTTAATCAAACATTTTTGACTTTTATCTGAGAGTCCATAATAATAATTTTAACTTCTGGGAATTGTTTTTCCCATAGAGAAGAAAGATCTAGTCGACTGTGGCCGACTAGACGATACCCTTTACCCTCTTAAAACGAAAGTTTAGACCAAGCTCTGCCTGATCCCTGATATTGGAGTCATCCTCTTAAAACTGTTACCTTTGCAGGCTCCGTTCAGCAGATAAAGAAGGCGATTGTCAAGCTCAAGGACGACATTGCGCAACTGAATCTGGAGGTGGCACTGCTGGTGCATGCCCACGACCAGGACACAGTGCGTCAAACGCTCGGCGCTGCTGATCAGGCAAACAACTGATAGGACGGCAGGAGTCTATAAAAATGTATACTTAGCATATG